TATATATATATATATATATATATATATATATATATATATATGATATTTCAGATGCAACTTATTATATTTGTAAAACTAATGCAACTCAATCAATTGAGATATTTATGAAAATGATGAGAGTTCACTTCTTATGATTTGAATATTTATGGAAGACAACTAGGGTTCGTTAATTATGATCAATATTCTATATCAGGAAACAATAAGATATTTATGAAATCACATATTAATCAAATTAAATTGACAATTGAGATTGAGTTTTCAACTTTATTGTACATATGTAATGGGTTGTATAATAAATCACCAATATATATGTGTATATGTGTGTGTAGGGGTGAGTTCAAATGAAAAACCAGTTTTCATTATGAATATAAGGACAAATATTGATCGCTGATCAAAATTTAAAAAGTAATCAATGGTTAAAACATAAAAGGTTAATTAAAAAATGATTAAGGACAAAAATGTAAGTAAGGATTTGCACCTACGTGACTTTTTTTTTTCTTTTTCAATTAAATTTTTTTACCCCTTTAATTTTTAAAGTAAATTATCTTAAAAATAATTAATATTTAATCAAACAAATTATATCAAAAAATCGAACATTTCATTCTCTTCGTTTTGACATCTATCTCGATATAGTTTTTATTATGTTTACGTCAAATAGTATATCTGTGTAATATTCATTATAAATATTTATGCACGTTCATATGCTTACAACAACTTTTTAATATTCATACATTAGTATGATATTCATCATAAATACACAACTTACTATAACATTCATCATGAACATTATGTATTTTCAAGTGTATTCAACAAATCTTCAGTATTCATACATTACTAAGACATTCATCATGAATATACGTTTTCTTTATAACATTCATCATGAATATACGTTTTCTTTATAACATTCATCATGAATATATATATATATATATATAATATATGTATATATATGTATGTATGTATATATGTTCACGTGTATATAATAACTCTTTAGGATTGATACATCAATATAATACATACTATTCATTATGAATATTTTTATATGTTTACATGTATATAACAACTTTTCAACATTCATACATCAGTATGGTATTTGTCATGAATAGACATTTTCACTGTAACATTCATCATGAATATTTATGTTATGTATGATCACATGTATACAGTAACTCTAGTATTTATATTAGTATGCTATTTATCATAGATATCAATTTTTACCATAATATTCATCATGCATACACATATTATTCATCATGAATATATTACAGTTTCAACTCTACATAATTTGGTTTTTCTTTATTGGGTTCTTGATTTATCTGGATGAGTTTTTGATTTGTCTCGATAGATTTCCTAATCCATCTCGATAAAAGTTGAAAATGGTAGGTTATGGTTTTACACAAACAAACACACACTAAGTCAATGGATGAGTTCTTGATTAGTCTCGATTGGTGTCGATCGGTCCCAATGGGCTGTTGATTGATCTTGATGTGCTCTTGATTGGTCTTGATGGGTTCCCGATTCTTCTCGATCAAAGATGAAAGTGATAGTCTTTGGTTTTACATTCAAACAAATAATAAATAAATTGTAGGTTCTCGATGGAAAATGAATATGGTTTAATGCATATCAACACATATTAAGTCAATGAATAGATTCTCGATCGGTCTCGATAGGTTCTCGACTGGTTTCGATGGGTGTTGGGTTACGGTGATGAAGAAAGTGGTGCCTTACGACGTGGAAGAAAGTGTTGAAGAAGATTATGTCGAGCTATAACTTAAGTACGGCGTCGAGCTGTTGTACTCACTTGAACGTACATAACAGCTCATAATGAATATAACATATATAACTAGATACTACACCCTTTGCCATTCCTACACCCTATACAACCCTCATCTCAACCATTCAATTTTTAATCAATTAATTGTTTTCTAATATAAAGTATTAATCATAATTAATAAACTCTATTCATATTCCATAAATATTCAAATCATAATAAATAAACTCCAATCATTTCTATAAATATCTCAATTAATTGGGTTGCNTATATATATATATATATATATCATTTTACGTAAAAAAACGAAAAAAAAATATATATATCTAGATGGATGTCATATCGAAAAGCATAAAATTTTCGTTTTTTTATTCAATTTGTTTGATTAAAATATTATTAATTTTTAAGATAATTTATTTTAAATTTTTTAAGGGGTAAAAGTTTTTAATTAAAAAAGAAAAAGAAAAGTCAAAAAAGATTGGTGTAAATTGAAATTAAATATTTTCTACCCATAAATAATTTAATTAATAATTTTAATTAAAATTATATTTAATATGAATTGTTGTATCCAAGTAAAATAGAGATTGAGTTTGCGTTTTAAATAATACCAGCTTAAATTGGATTGGAACAATTAAACCATTAAAAAAAGTCTTGATTGATTCGACCGGCATTTTTATCCAACGGTTCTCTTAGAAGTGTCTAATGTATGCATGTAGGTAGGGGTGTCTTTGGGTTGAGTTGATCGGGTTGATGACATTTGAGCAATTTAACTCAATGTTTTTGGATTGAAAAATCTTAAACCAACCCAAACCAAAGTGCAACCTAACCCAAGTCAAACCGTACGGGTTGGTCGGGTTGATATTTTGGTATATTAAAATATTATTCTAACCTTGAATATGTTATTTCCACTACTCATAATTTCTTTTTCATCATCAACCAATTGATACAACTTATCCATACTTCTTACGTATACCACATTTAGTTAATTTTCTCAATTTACATATATATGTTCACAGTTAGTGAACATATATACGAATGAATTATATAGAGATGTAAATAGATTGAAAATATGTGTGTATGAAGAGCGTACGTGATACTGTAATTATCTAATGTATATATTAATAGAAATTCAATGGTCATATTAAATCCGAGAAATAAAATGATATTGGATTTATCGGGTTGGGTTCAAATAGTAATAACTCAATACCTACGGTTTGAAATTTTTACCACTTAATTAGACATCGGGTTTACTTTGAGTTGAGTTATTTAGCATTGGGTTGATCGTAGGGACGGACCCAGAAATTTTTTCATATGGTGGCACCATATAATTAATATAATATAATATAATATATATCTAAAAATAATTAGAAAAAAATATGGTTTTTATTGTACCGATAAACAACTCCTAAACTTTTACCCGACTCGTCTTCATCTTTTGAAAACGGTCAATATATACCCAAAAATAATTACAAAAAGTATGTTGAGAAACAACTCCTAAATTTGTCCTCGGCGTGTCTTCATCTTTTGGAAACGATCGATGACATCTTCGTTTTTGACATTACAAAGGGATTCCTTTTCTATGGCGCAAATGAGAGCAGAATTCAAAAAATCATCACCAATTCGATTACGTAAATCTGTCTTGACAAGCTTCATCGCCGAAAAGCATCTTTCAACCGTAGCAGTTGCAACAGGCAAAACCAATGTTAGTTTCAATAACCAATAGACTAAAGGATGAGAAAGATGCTTTCTTGTTGCCACCATTAATCTGGCGAGGTTGGCAATACAGTTTAAGTTGGCAAATCTGACATCATTATAAACAGAATGATCCTTTCCTTGTCATCAAAATCTCAGGGATACATCTGACTCAACTTCAATAGGCTTGATTTGTTAAACTGAGAAAACGAATTGTGTGGATTCAAAGCTGCCATGTTTTGAAGCAAGTCAGTGCTTATCTCACCAAAACGATCACCAAACTCTCGGATCTGCATATCCAAAACAGTGTTGAATATATCATAGTTATAATAATGTTGATTGGTAATGTTCATCATTTTCCTTGAATTTCGTGTATTAACATAAGCTTCAGCCATATCCAATTTCACGATCTTATGTTTATCACAAAAAGAGTTCATTTCTCCAAAACATTGATCAAACCCATTTTCCCTCAACATTTGTAATTGACCTTTGGTTGTACCTATCAAATCAATAGCTTCCAAGATGTCTTCATCTTTCCTTTGAAGAGCTTGAGACAATGAATTTGTTAATCCTAAGATCGTTGATATCAAGTGCATATAAAACACAAATTCAAATGTCTTTAAGTATGATAAAAGACCTCTTGCTTGAAGCCGACTAGCTCCATTATCACCATCATCTTCAACATATTCAAGCACCTGTATAACCTCTGGAAACAAAGCAATCAAACTCACGATTGTTTTAAGATGAGAATTCCATCGTGTATCTCCAGTTCGGACAAGGGAAATCTCTTGGTTAACCCCTTACCAGTCTCAATTTCATTATTTCCAATTTCTTATTGAATTCTCTCTTTGTGACTTTCTCGTATCATATCTTTTCGTTTGTAAGAAGAGTTTACAACAGTAACAACCAACGCAATCAAATCAAAGAAGTCCTTAATACCTTCGTGTTTTTTTTGCAACCGCCACAACCACTAACTGAAGTTGATGGACAAAACAATGTATATAAAATGCCGAGTCATTATCACTTAAGATCAAAGCTTTCAACCCATTGAACTTACCACTCATGTTGCTAGCACCGTCATAACCTTGTCCTCTTACCTATTTTAAAGATAAATTAAGCTATTTAGCCAAATATTCAATGATATAATTAAGACTTAAAGCAAATAAATTATTAAGAAACCTTTTTACCTTTGTGAAACTCAATCCATGTTTTGCAAATAAACTATCCAAGGCAGATTTAAGACTTATAGCAGATGTATCCATGACATGAACAATGCCGATAAATCCTTCTTGAACAATTCCGACTTTGTCAACAAACCTCAAAATCACGGCCATTTGTTCTTTTCTAGAGACATCACTAGACTCATCCACCAACAAAGCAAATACATCATCACCAATTTCCCCAATAACGCCTTTCAACACCTCTTTTCCAAAGCAAGTAACAAGATCTTTTTGAATCTTTGGAGATGTCAATTGATTGTTCTTCGGTGTATTTTGTAATATAACCTTTTCAATCTCTCCATTTGCTCTTTCGATTAACTTTAAAGTCCCCAAGAAAAGCCCTTTGTACATAAACTTTTCCGACTTATCGTTGCCACAAAATGGTAAAGCATTCTCCAACAAATATCTACAAATTTCAACGGAAGCATTCAATCGCATGTGGTACTCGGTCTTCATGAGTTCTGTTTGTTTACGAAGGGCAACAACAATTAATTGGTTTTGGTTAACCAAATCTTCACATTTTTTAAGTGCTTTATGGTGAAAACTATTAACCTCACCCTCATGAAGCGTAAGTCTATCTTTTTTACTCCAACTATTAAATCCTTCCGCCACAAATGCATCTATCCCATGATTCCAACCTTGGTCTCTGAACAAGTAACAAGGCAAACAATATGCTCTATCTACTTTTACACTGTATTCCAACCACTGAAATTGATCAAACTAAGAAACAACAAACCGTCTTCCTTTAGTCCCTATAACTTTGGTTGGAAAGATGTGACCTCGTGGTTGACAAGGACCCCTTACCAAATATTTCCGTCTAATTTCGTCTCTTTGATTTGGGTTATAAGTTATAATTTTGGATCTTTCGAATGGATCCCAAGGAAGATCGTTAACATCAATCACATTGTTGGATGCATCATTAGCGGTTGGTGATGAAGCTTTTCGTTTCAAATATTTTTCCATAATGAATGAGTTATGTAAATCAAAGTAATGAAAACAATAATAAGTAATCATTAATCAGTAATGAGTAATGTAAATAAGTAAATTTAATCAATATATGAAACCTAAACATAGTAAACAGAAAATTTGTATAACCTAAACAATTAATCAAGTAAAATAGTAAATAATCAACTAAACAGTAAACAGAAAAGAATGATCAATTTGTATAACCTAAACCTAAATCAAATAAGTGATTGAGATTTGAGTTTGAGTCACAGAGTCAGTACCAATGGCGAGTTCCAATTCCAAAATCGAATCGAATCGATTCTCTTCTCATTCTCGAATCTCGGCGACGCTGTCCGCCTGTCCCTGGTCCGGTGGTCCCCCGCCTGGTTGTAGCTGTCGGCTTGTCGCACACAATGTCACTCTCTCACGCCTCAAGCTCTCACTCGCTCACGCACGGTCGCACACAGGTCACAGACTCACAGGTGATCGATTTAGGGCTTTAGTTAATGGACCATTAGATTTTATTTGGGCTTACTTAACACTTATCCTTAGGTAGCACCTTCCGAAACGATACGCTAGCACCGTTAATAAACCTAAAAATTTTACTCTTCAGAGGTGAAATAATACGGTGGCACGTACCACCCATGCTGACACTACAGGTCCGCCCCTGGTAGGGGTGAACACGGGTTGGGTTGGGCGGTTTATGACGTTTTTTCAACCCAACCCAATTACGGCGGTTTGAAAAAT